AATCAAACTAAGTGAAGAACAAAATTTGTTGTCCTAATTTCATATGAGTTATTTGTTTGGTTTTAATTTAATATAGAGTAAAATAAATAAATAAAAAATTTGTCACTTATATATATTAGATATTCAACTCGATTTGACTTTTTCATATATTTACTTTTTTATATTTAAATACCTATAATATAAATTCTAACTTTCACCACCAACACTCTTCGGAAAAAACGCCTTTACTTATAATTTTTGTAGTCAACTTTTTGAAAAATAAAAAGAATTTATTTTAAATTTTTTAAAACACTTATTGTAGATAATAACGATTTTATGTACATGCGTATTATAGGTACATTTGTAATTAATAATATTGACCATTGTAATTATAATTGCAAAGAGTTTTATTACATGTCTTAATTACAACACATTACATTAACAAACCCCTTGACTATGTAATGTTATTAAAATTAATGCTCGTATATTAGTTGTTAGATATTCTGTTCAACAATAACATAAAGTAAGAAAAAAAAGAGATAAAAACAATAACAATAATAATATGTTTAATATAATTTTATGAATGAAATTTGAGAATGGAGAAAATTTTATGATAGGTAATGTAAATATTTTTTTACTTCGAAAGAATCACTTATCTACCATTTCTATCATGAAAATCACTACACTTTTGAAGTATACTAACACAATAATCAAACAACCTGAAAATACTAACTTTATGAAGGTCAATTTTTTAAAATATAATAAATAAAAAATTAATTTTAAAGCTTTAGTCTAACTTAAAACTAATATGAAAAAGATAATATATTAAAAGAACAAGTGAACCTCTAGAAAAATCAGGTTGAAACTTTGTTGTCTCCCTAATTTTCTACAATTTCTTCTGTGGAAGTGTGGCTCCATACATTTATTTTGTTCTTTAATATTAATTTTTCATATGAGTTTTAGTTATCAACTTTTAATTGAATTTTTATTTATCAAAATAAGTTAATCATGAGATTATTAGTATTTTCAGATTGTGTGATTTTTGCGTGTTAATTGATATACTCATGCTAAAAATGATAGTTAAGTGATTTTGTGTTTGGGGTGGAAGGAAGACACCTTATATCTTACCTTTTGAAGACAATAAATAAATGAAACGAAAAATATGTGTATACTTTAATACAAAAATATCATTTAGATATAAAATTTTCAATCTATAGAAAAATAAAATTTCTTTATATATGTTATCTTTTTTATGTTTTTCTCCCAACAATCAACCATTATAACAGTTCATATAACCTCTTATATATAGGGACGAAAAAACAAAAGTTAATCAATAATATCTAGAATAAATGAAGTTATAGTCGGTCCTAAGTTCATATTCAAGCTCAAATTCTCTCTGCAGATAAGTAGAATATGTACTTATCAGATAAAACAACTCTTCAATTGTGCCTCCTAGCCTCACAACTTGCATTTGACGATCAATTTCACTCAAATGATGCCTCACATTCACCAGTTCTGTGCAAATCTCGAGGATTTGATTTCTGTTAGCTGGTGCTGCCATTTTTATAGCCTATTAATCACTGGATAAAAAAAAATAGTTATCGCAATAAAATTTCTCTACAAATTGTTACTCTAAGAAAATAATTATAGATAGATCTGGATATATATATATATATATATATATATATATATAGAGATATATATATATATGTAGAGAGAGAGAGAGGTAGATGAGTGAATGTGAAGTTAATTAAGCACTAATGAGACCAACCTGAGTGAATTGATGTTCAAAGTGTGTTTGAAATGAAATGTGTCTTCTATATTTATAGAGGTCTCGTCGTCCTAGATTCATATAAACTTAAATTTTTATAATAAATTTAAATTTTCAGTATACAAAAAATATAAGGAACATGATTATTTATCAATTTTCTTGGATTAATATCTCTATGACCCCTTAAACTTATCAAAGGAATTCATTTAGACACTTGACTTATAATTTATTTCAATTGAACAATTGAACATATGAAATATTTACTTCTAATATAAAATATAATACATGATCAATTTGCTTTTTGTGATATATTCTCTTTAAAATTAAATTCCGTGAACAATTTTGATTTATTCAAATCAGTATGATAAAATAGTCAAATATTAATTTTTACATTAAATATAAAATAAGAGTGGTCAAACAAAGAAAGGTGTTTCAATCATCCCTATTTATGATTCTGTTGGCATTCCTTTGGTTGTATATTAAGTCAAATATTTGAAGTTAATTCTCTCTCTATTTATTTTTATTTTTCATATATATTAAAAAAATAATTATTGATATAAATTTTAATAAATTTTTATCTATTAGATAATGTCTTGAAGAATATATATTTAATGCTAAGAGTAAAACATAAAAAGAATTATTATTTCTTCTTAATAAATAAAAAGATTAGAAATAAAAATGAAATCTATTTTAAAAATAAGTAAAAACCACCAATTTAGATATTATCAGCACCAATTAATTATATAATGGACTTTATCTATTAATTGTCCCTTTCATTAATATCGCATGGAATAAAAATAGTATAACTTATATAAATTTCATGGTGTAAAATTTATATTACATCCTATCCCTATTCTTTTCTATTTTACAAAAATCCCTTAAATATTAGCAATCTGGATACATAATTGGTTGTCCGAATACATTATATATTATATATATGGTTGTTGCACTTAAAAGGAACACAAAATAGTAAATCAAATTAAAATCTCATAATTTATGCTATTCAGTTACTTTTTATTGTATTCATCAGAGAAACATATATCCTAAAATAACAAATCAATTTAAAATTCAAAATCCATATTCATCTTTGTTCATATTTCAACAAAGAAACTTTCGAGTAGTATTCAAATTTTTTGTTAAAAATTTGATAAGCTACATAATGAATATTTTGATGACTAACACTCTCGAAGGAAGAAAAAATCGAAGATCGTAATTTTTGAGTTCTTTAAATTCTACACGAATCTCACTATGAACGATCAGGTTGAGTTTCTTTGCCAATTTTCTTGGTATCTTTATTTTATACTGGTGGTTGCTTACCATTGTGTAATGGCAAATCTCAAATGTGAAAGCAATCGAAAGATGTTGTTTTAGACTTAGCTTGGGCAAAAATAGTTATTATTTGTCATAACTTCAATTTTCGAGTTAAAAATCTGATAACAAAAGGTATGAAACACATATTCATGTGCTTTAATCATTGTTTTTCATTCATGAATTTGTATATGATTGATATGTCTTGATACATTACTGATAGAAATCGATACATTAAAACTTTGAAGTAGACGTTGTAGATTTGAAGATCTGTGAGTTACTGTACTATTAATAAAAAATATCAGATACATGTGAATTTCTTTTTTAATTTTTGAATTTGTATATATACATATAAATCATGATACATTGCTGATGAAACTTGATTTAATTTTAGTTGTATATGCAATGAATTTCTATAAATGTGAGTTCGTGTGTCATTACTATAAAGTATCAGATACATGTAAATTTTTATTTATCAGTATATGAATTTCTTTATATGTATCAATATATAAACTATCGTGTATTTGAAGTTAATTATCATTAGGCTTTTGTGTATCTTAAATTGAGTTAATTGATATATGATGTATCTCTCACTTTTAAATATGCACAAGTTGTTCCATCTTCTAAATTTATTTATTCAATGTATATAGGTGGACGACAATACATCGTTTGCCTGTAGAGAAAAATATGTAACTATAGGAGATTTCAGTATGACGTGATCCCTTTTACACATACAATTATTGTTGTGAAGAGCAAAATATTACAAAGATACATCCATACTGCTCTGATTACTACAAACCAACTGCATTATCTTACCACCCAATGTTGGATAAGAACAATTGATTAATACCAGTGTTTGTTTTGAAAGAAATTATCTTACCACCAAGGTACAAAGAGATGCCTAGACGACCAAGAAAAAGAAGGAAAAAAATCTAGATGAAAAGATAAGCACAAACACAAATTGTTGTGGGCGTTGAAGGTCATAATTGATGAAATTGTACTTTCTTTTAGAAAGAAGATTGACAAACTCGTTTTTTTGAACTACTATTATGTTTCAGATATATTATTTTGAAATTATCGATTTTTAGTTTTTGCTTTCCAACTTTTACTTCGATAAGACATTACAATTTACTAATCGCTGGTGAAATTTTGATATAATAAATTGAAATGTTAAGATTTTCAACCTTGTATTCAATTCTTTGTAACACATTATGTTTTATATACCTTCTTTTTTTTAAAAAAAAACAATATATCATTAGCTATTTGATAATAATGTACCAGAAGGTGTTTGTGAAGATGGTTTAATCAATGTAGTTCAGATACATTTTTATATAATGTATCATGATGTAGTTGAAAATGTATCTAATACAATAAGGTTGCGAAAAATAGTATGTAAAATAAACTCAAGTGAATGTATAAGTAAGATTAATTTATATATCTAAAGGTTCGATTTGCTTATTTTTGCGGTTATTTTTAGTAAAACCAAAACAAATAGTAGCGATTTTCAAAATTTAAAATCAAACCTAAACAAACTAAATCAGATATCAATTTTTTTGAAATCAATTTGGTTCGAATTGCGGTTTGGTCTGGTTGTTAACCATAACCATGAACAACCCTACTCATTAGATGTTAGATAGACATTATTATGTGATAGTTGTTATGTAATTGATACATTTAGTATAAATTCGAATTTACGTATCATATCTAAAAAGTTAGTGCTTGATACATTACTATTTATGTATCTCGTTTCAACGGATAAATATTGTGTTATTACGGGATACATTAAATAGTTAATTGTTGCTCATAAGTTGTTTGCCTTGAGATCGATACATGTAGTATAAACTAGTATTTATTAATCATGTCCGTATATATCGACATAGTTATGTACCATATAAAAAAATATGAATATGAGATATATTTAGTATAAATTCGAATATACGTATTATGCCTAATAAATTAGTGCATGATATATTATTATTTATGTGTCTTTATTCGTTGTTGCTTCATTAAGATCTTGAGGGACTTAATCTGGTTCATCATCATAATGAAGCAACATGTAGTATAAATCAGGATACATTAAATTGATAATGCATCATACACAAACAAATTTTGATGTATCAGACATCTGATAATGTATCATAATACTAAATTTTCTGATTATATTAATACATTCTTATGTGGACTTGCTTCCGTAGTAACATGAATATTTTCATACATAGGTTGGAGTTCTGAAAAATTTTCTATTTCTTATTGATTTTTGGTAGTATCATGAATATTCTCATCTTTCGGTTAGACTTCTGAAACATTCACCATTTCTGATTCTTGATAGTATCATCAATCTGTATTTATAGTTTTAGAGCAAATTGTTGTTAACAAATATGTTAATGATACATATAATTATATTCAAGAAAAATATGTATGAGATATATAATTTTTATAATATATAATGAACTATAAACACTATTATTGATAATATATCAGATACATACCTTTATAATCATGGATCTGATCTTCAACCTCAACAGCACATAAAATCAATGTTTTGGTCATTATGGCAAAATCCACTTGTATTGGTGAAGTTGGTTGCGAATCAAACTAAAAGGTACTTGTTTGAGGTTCAATATTGACTTTTTACCGAAAAATTTAATCTTGCGGTACATTGATTTACCAGCAACATTCTTCATCAAGGAAATTACCTATGCAATTTAATCCACAAAAAAAAATACATATTAAACCTCATATCTTTTGTGGTTGGTTGTCTTCATGTGTACACATTTCATCAACTGAGAATTTATGAAGAGAAAAAACAACAATTAAGAAGACAATTCCTACCTATTTTGAAATTGATTGATTAGAGAGAAAATTCTTTTGAAAATCAAATTAATTTGAAAATTTTAACTGCTAACAATATGGAGTGAATTTAGGGAGAGAAAAAAGGAAATAGAAAACGTGAGTTTGACTATTGAATTTTTGTATCAGAAAATTTCAACAATTGAAAAAAATAAGAAATTTCTGTAATATTTTTAAAAGGTAGAGAAAAATAGATAATAAGATAAGTAAAGATGTGTATATAATATAACTATGTCTTTGATTATGATATCATAAATTTATATACTTAGATATGGAAAAAATATTCATGATATAAAAAAATATAAGAGAAATTATTGTTTCTTTAGAAAACAACTTTAAGGCTCCATAGTAAATAAGATTATAATCATGAAGCGTAATTAACTATATTATAACTATGGAGCATTAATTTGATTTGTCAGACAAGAATATAAACTGCTCCTTAATATAAATCTTTTTTTCTATACATAAATAATTAGATCTCTTACTTTGATTTTGTAAAATAGTGAGTGTAGATATCTTAATAATTGCGTTTATATTAAAATCACAATTCTATTCTATTTTATCTCAATTTTACTTTTGTATTTTTTGATCGATTGAATGTATAGACGAGAGTACATATACTCAATTTTATTTAACTTAATCTAAAATTCTTGGCCACAATAATTTTTCTCCCTAATTCAAGTTGTTGAATGACACTATTGTTTCGTCAATTCGAATAATATGGTCGATAAAAAGTGTTTATAATTAAAAGTTCATCCTATATTTTGTGTGTAGTTTATCCATAATTAAAATTGTTATATATTTTGTGCGTAGTTTATCCGTAATTAAAATCGTTATGGTATATTTAATATCGTGAATTCAAATTATGAAAATATATAATACTTAGATACTTATAATTGGAGGCTCCTCTGAACTCGAGCATCGTCAGCTTTAGTGCACGAAGCTGCCTATATTTATGGTTGCAGATCGATTCCAGGTCCATTTTTTTCGGAGATGATGAAACCCAGAAACTCAATCACAAAAACAATATTGAAAAAATTCAAGAATGTCAGTAATCCGAGAAAAAACCCATTTTCATCATCATCAATTCCAAGGGAGAAAGTTGATTGTTTGGTGATTGGGGCAGGTATAGTGGGCATTGCAGTAGCTAAAGAGCTTAGTGTAAATCATGGTAGACAAGTTTTGGTTGTGGATTCTGCCCCAATTTTTGGAACTGGTACAAGTTCTCGTAATAGTGAAGTTATTCATGCTGGCATCTATTACCCTACTAATTCTCTCAAGGTTCTTTCTTGTTTTCATTTTTAATAAGTTCTACTGTGTTTTTTAGGGCATACCCATTTAAGGATTTAGTTAAAAATCGAATCTTGGGGTAGCTTATTGGTTGAGTTTTCCCTTTTTAGCTGATAAAGATTTATGATTTAAGTGTTACTGGAAGTTGTTAACATACACTTAAATTTGAGATCTGCTCAACATATTTCCATTGTGTTAGTTGAACTCTAGAACTCATCTAGATACCTCCGGAAGTTATATGTCATGTTAGCATCGGGTGTTCCCGGGAGAGAGGGAGGATGAGTTGAAGTGTTTTGTTACCTTAGCTTGTCATCATTGTGACAGTAAAGATTTCAACTTACAAAATGATCATATAAAGACACTTTCATAATAATGTGTCACGTTAGTATCGGGTGTCCATGAGACGTAGTGAGGATGAGTTGAAGAGTTCAGTAACCTCAGCTCGTCTCCATTGCGCAAGTTAAACATTCCAACTTACACAATGATCATCTAGATACCTCCATTAATCTTGTTTTAGCAGTCAGAACATTTTCAATTAAGCATGAACTGATAGTTTCGATCTTGTTCTGCTAATTGCTCGGGTTTCTTGTCTGTGTATGTGATCTTGCTTCTAAAGTTACCGAGTATAAGCATGAATGGGAAGTTTGAATTTGATACAGATAATAAATCAAATGAATATTCCCTGCTATTTGGAAGATAGAAAATAGTGGTGTCTTGAAAGTTGAGTGTCTAACTGATTGATTATGCTCTTCTTCTTTACATCTACAACTAGGAATACAATTGAATGCAGCATGGAGAAACTAGTTATCTTAGCTTGATTAGAGTACATTTACCTAATGTTTGAATTTCAGGTTGAGTTCAAGCACAATCTAGTAGCCGATTATCGTGACTACAATTTCAGTGTTAAACTCTGAGTTCACCCTGGATTCAATTTTAAAAACCGTGATTTACAATACTATGCATATCAGCTGCATATGCTACTATGCAAATTAGCGATAGCTATTCTTATCTTTTCTAACTTCAATGCAAACTCTTATTTACACGTATGGATCTCTTTTCTAGAAATTATATAGGAGTAAGTGTCATTATTGGGATGTGGAATGTAATAGTTGTGAAGGTTTCAAAAACGATCACGAGTAGTTCTACTGCAAGGAGCTCCCACATGCCACCCATGAGCTTAATTTTCAAATTTTATCGCAGGCATCTTTCTGTGTTAGAGGGAAAGAATTGCTCTACAAGTATTGCAAAGACCATGAAATTCCACACAAACAGATAGGCAAGCTAATAGTTGCTACTGGATTATCAGAGGTTCCAAGGTTGAGCAATCTCATGACTCAAGGAATTCAAAATGGGGTTGAGGGTTTGAGAATGATGGAGGGGTATGAAGCTACTAGACTGGAGCCCGAATTGCAGTGTGTTAAAGCTTTATGGTCGCCTTCCTCGGGAATAGTGGATAGTCATTCCTTGATGCTATCATTGGTGGTAATGCTCCTCATCATTCAATCTCCAAATATATTATGTCATATTGACTGCTTGCTTATCACCAAAGAGCTCATTCTTTAGAACTTCGGGGAAAGAAATTCTCTTTACTTAGAAGATCTTGATTTCGTTTACCTTTTTAGAATCATTGATGACCATACCATGGGTTTAGGGCGAAGCTGAAAGTCATGGGACGACTTTCTCTTACAATACTGCTGTTATTGGTGGTCATATTGAAGGAAATCAAATTCAAATTCATGTTTCTGGGAGCAATGCCGTTGCAAACTGGAATGGGAGCTCAGAATTGGACTCTGAACTAATTCTTATTCCAAAGCTTGTAGTGAATTCTGCAGGCTTAAGCGCTCCAGCCATTACAAAACGAATGAAAGGTCTACCTGACGGTATTTTACCTGCTTCTCATTATGCCCGTGGTTGCTACTTCACACTTTCAAACACTAAATCCCCTTTCAAGCATTTGATTTATCCTATACCTGAGGTTGGCGGCCTTGGAGTGCATGTTACCTTGGATTTGAATGACCAAGTCAAGTTTGGTCCTGATGTCGAATGGATTAAAGGAATTGATGATATTCCAAGCTTCCTCAACATGTAAGTTCTCATTGATAATGTAAATTTTTGCATATTGAAGGTTGGAAAGCATGTTCTCCTTTTGAGTACTTCAGCCTGCTACATTCTTTACACACTCTAGATGGAAAATAGAATTGCAGAACAGTCAAAAAATTTCTTAACGCTAGAAATGGCTACTCTTTTTGCACTACGAAACTAACAGGAGCAATCTAATCTCCGATATAATTTGGTTATGATATTTTAGGTTTGATTACTCTGTACATGAAGACCGTGCCAATCAATTCTACCCAGCAATAAGAAAATACTACCCCAGTCTAAAGGATGGATCTTTGGAACCAGGTTATGCAGGCATCAGACCAAAGCTTTCTGGTCCAAGAGAGGTTCCTACCGATTTTGTAGTTCAGGTAATATCGAACTTATTCTGAGTTTTTAACCTTAAGTTCAGTAGTAGATCGATCACATTAAGTTAGTCGAAAGTACTCTGATGCGGTCTTACAGCTTAAGTTATCAGACAAGTATGGTCGGAATCACCTGAAGCAGAGACATATTAGGTTACCTTTCCTTTCCATCTGCTAAATCTGACGGTCTCTAAAACAAATGTTTTGCAGGGAGAAGACATTCATGGTATATCTGGTTTGGTAAACCTGTTTGGGATTGAATCACCAGGCCTAACTTCCAGTATGGCTATTGCAGAAGATGTTGCTGCTAAACTACTGAAATGATACGCTGAAGTGATACTTTTATGTATTATCTTGCAGTAGTTTCAGTCAGCTGTTAAGTTGGAGAACTCTATGGATCATTGAAAGTTCGCCATCTAACAAGGAGTTGCGAGTGACTGCTGACTTTGAGCAGTAACAAGAGAGTTGTGGGAAACTGAATTCTGTTTGTACCCAAAACAAGAAACTTAAATAGTCATTGTTTCACTGTTTAAATGTTTTCCATTCTAAGAATTGATCGTCAGTACAAAACACATCCAGAGCCTCTGAAGCATCAGCTGGAATTGCAAATAATCTTTAACATTCTATAGAAATTTTTAACATATTCAACAATATGGTTCATCATAAAAACAGCCATCCACTTCTGGTTCCTCAGAGGGTATGATGCACGAGTTCCATTCTAAGATTTCACCCCAACAAAAGCAACTCGAAATATAGTAGAGCTTCAATATGTGATGAAGCCAACTAGGCAGCTGCGCTACCAACTTTCACCTGACCTCTTGATATGACCATCCAAAAAAACTTAACCGTGCTTGTATTATAACATAGAAATTCTCATCGCTTACGTTCTTGCCTCCACTTGAAGACAGGTTTGGTTGTTGGGTTGACAAGCTCTTCTTCACGAAGTTTGCGTTTCCTTCCTGATTTCTGGTTAACATAAAAGGAATTATTCTAAGACCACCATTTACGAACCTTGAATACAGAAAAGATAGAACCCTAAATATACCTGTAATTCTTTCTGCATTGCCATATCCATGTATACTTTCTCTAAATCTCTGACTCTGCTCTTTCTTGCTTCCAACTCTCTGTAAGATGTAGCTGTCTTTCTGCGCAGGAGATTCCAATGATGAAAAAGTTGACAAGCTTCGGTTTGAAACCAAAGGAAAATTAGTATACGCATATATGAAAGTGCAAAAAAATCGGCCACCACTCGGCAAAAAGAAATAAAGGATTAATGCAATTCCCATAACCAAATTGGTTCTCACACTTCTGCGCAGAGTGTTTTAAGGCATTTGTAATAGCAGATTTTCAAGAACGATTTGCAGAAGCTTCAATACGAGAACACTTAAAACATCAAGTGAACTGAAGTTTGGATGGATTAAGGTTCATTTCAGGCATATCCACAGTGGATATTGTTTCTTTTAATTGCATTTATGCTTGGTTGGGGTTGAGGTGAAGGAAAGGATTGAATAAGGAAGAAACGACCCTCAGCTCTTAGAAATAAATGCATCCATCCAATGTTTAACAGAAAAACAAGATATCGCGAACATGATTCGATAAAAAGTGGAAGACCAGTTTTTGGTATAAAAGGACTAACCATTTGAAATATTTATCAGCCATATGGATTAACTATATGTAAGTTCGAACGCAATTGATGTATTCTTCTTTTTCATTTTTTATTCTTTTGATAACTGAGAATCACGAGTGTCAGTTTGTGAATGTTCTGATACTCTGTGGATATGGGCCTTGCCCCTTTACCCGTATCCACTGAAGATGTCACACTCTTACCACTTGGCGGAAGACCCATGGAACCATACATCTCTAATCACAGACTAGATGATTAGTTTATCTATTATAAGGAACTAAGATCCAGTGACAAAATCATCTTAATAATGATAATGTGAGATATCTCATGAGGAAAATGCTTGATAGATTTTAAAAACAAAAGGCTGTGATTACCTTCTAATACTGCTAGGCAAGTTCTCAGAAGCAGCCAGATTACCACGTTCTGAAGCCTTAGACGCTAACTCTTCTGCTTCCTCCCTGAAAATAAACAAAAACAGATAGTAAGGAATTTGTATATGGCACTGCAACACAGAGAAAGATATTTTAACAGAAACAGAAAATTTGAAGTGATATTTGGGTGGGGGTGGGGGTGGGGGTGGGGGTTAAAGAAATGATACAAATTATGCAATGTCTCATTTGCTTGCTGTCCAAAATGATTATAAGATTTAAATAAAGCTCTTAGGAATTTTTATATTGAACCATGTCATCGTCTTCTCAACTATGTGGGCTATAGCGGAGAGAGAACCAAAAGAATAATAAAAGGAAATGGTGTTGCCTGATTGTTTGAGGCCTAAACCAGCAAAGCTAAAAACAGGAAATTAGGAAAAGATACTGAAAGACAAGCTAGCACTGAGATACTTGCACAGTTCCAATGAGTCAGTATTTTCTTATTTCTTTTTTAATTCTTTTTTCCAAAGATTCAGTCATGAGTGACACAAAATTTAATCCGGAAGCTGCCTGCTTGGCTATTTTATCAGGAGAAATGAAACTAGAGTTGGGTAATATTTGGAGATAATTTGTGAACAAAGTTTGGGCATCGCTTGGAGATAATGCTACCATACAGAATCGTTTGTCCTTCTGATTCAGTCATATGGTAAAATTCAACCGAGATCAAGTGATGAGGTTTCAGTTCATGAAGAAAGCGAAATATTGGATGCAATTTATCGGGCCAATGAATGACCATCAAGTAGATAGCTCCAAATGAGTCTTTAGTTGTATGGTAATAGTGAATCATTTTCTGAAGTTTAATGATATTTCAACTCGTGAAGATAGCTGAATAATGAATGAGAATTGTCCGGTACAATAAATTCAAACAGATGTTCCCCTACGAGACTGTACTTTTAAGTGTATACACACACTAACACAAGAATGTAAGTTATTTCAACCCTGTATGCTGAATGATAAGGAATTCAAGAAGTATTTCTAACCTGTCCTCAGCATAGTAGACACGTTTATTTGATGGCTTATTATCAAGGGAGTGCAGCATGGCAGTTAACTTCTCAATTTTCTGCATACAATGACAGTTATTGACAAGCAGGAAGCAGAAGAAACTTCTCAATTCTAGGGGTCAACAAAGAGAAAAAAAGGAAAGTAATTACAATGTGAACCAAATAAGCAACAGTAAACCTTTTTCTCACTCTGAACTTTCTGTAAAATATAGCCTATATCCTGAGTCTTCATTAACATGAGTTCCTCTGGAGTGTATTTATTTGCTTGGCTCCTGGAAACAAGGAACAGTGCCCCACAAGTCGGGTCAATCATGACTGATGAACAAATCAGCTAAACCAAAAGATAGTATATTTGTATCTTACTCCAATTTATGCACTCCATCAACAGTTTTTGTTTTAACCATCTTGAAGTAGAACTCATCTGGATTTCGAAATGCTGCTTTTTCCTTGAGTTTCTGTAAGGCAAATAACATATATCACTCTCATATCCAATCATCTAAATGTAAATGATCATTCAGGGGCAAAGATAAAGGTCCCACCACATAAAAAACCATAAGACTATGTAGGAATTCCTTCAAAAGGACTACTAACAGAACACAATCAAGGGTTTTGATCTTTTTTCAAGAACGAAAAATCAGCCAACTACAGCCTTTGAAACTGGGGATGATTGACCCACCCCTCAACCCTACTCCACTTAAATACTCAAATTAATCTTTGAACATGTGACCAAAGGACAAGTTCCTCAACCTTTGCCAATTGAGCTAATCGAGGGGGCTCAAGAGTTTTGATTTTTTAATACAAATGAACTGTAATTGTGGGCTGACTTTCTTTTCCTTCTTCTAATCCTTCATTCTATTTTCTAGTGGACAAGGAGTTGGGCCTTGCTGCAAATATTGCACAACCCTAAACTTATTCATGTCTCAGCCATACATCAAGCTTTAGCAACAACATTCCCAGCATAATCTCGCTTGCATGGCCTGGGGAGGTAGGATGTATGCAAAATTAACCCAGTATATAGGCTTATTACGATAGGACACTCGCTCAAAAGAAGGGTACTAGAACCAGGCTAGACAAGATAACAACAATGACATATAACATCCAAAATAATAATAATGAAGAATAGGATACTCTGCGGATACTAGTTAAGAATACTAAAAAAAGAGAGAGATGAGACTAGCTCTGTGCCTCTTCCTCATAAAAGTACTCCGGCGCATGACTGCCTACTAACCTTCTACAGTTCTACCCTAATCCTCCACCTCCAAACCTTCCTATATATGAAGGTATCAAGCTATAGAATACTTCAAATGCCACTAATTTCATACCTAAACCTTCGTATCTAGGATCATGTCAGCTAACATATTTCCCTTGTAACCTCAAAACCATTCAATTCCTTGTAGAACAAAACAAAAAAAACAAAAACTCTACCTGCAAAGTCTGCTCCTTTTTGTGGAATGATGTCGCCCGTACCACATAATCTTTGTGTTTCTCAAGCAACCCGAATTTTTTCCTTGCTTGTCTGATAAAATATTTGTAACAATTATTAAAACCAAATCAACTCAAAAAAATCAGTATAATATGTGAAATCAATTACAGAATCACTTACGGCTGAGCTCGCTCCTTATGAGCTCGTCTAGGAATTGCATTCTTGAACGACGACATTTTAGAATTGATTAATTCACTGAAGCAACAACAACGAAAATACAGCAAAAAGCAAATCTACAGGACGAGGAGGAGGAAGAAGAAGGGTTTGGCTGCACAATTGCTGGGGTTTTAGGATTTGGGCTTTTTATTTGACCCGCTATTAAGATGGAGATGGGCTTTAATCTTTGTCCATTCCGCACGAGTTTATATTTTCGTAAACTCAAACTTTATCGCTTAAATCCTATGGAGTTTATGTCGATAGAGATAAAAATTCATTTAGAATCCACTGGCCATAAAAAATATTGTAAAAAAGAATAATTTAGTTCATACATAATATTGATAGAGATAAAGCTTCAGTTTCAATACTCATAAGTTATGTCGTAAAAGACATAACTTAATTACTACAAAACTTATGTCATGAAGACTAACGTTTCTAATACTTATAAGTTATGTCTAGTAACATTAGATGGGTGCTTTGATCCACAAATTTTCATTAAAAATGAGCCATATAAGCTTTTGGGCGATGGGCTATGAACTCGTGACGAAAATTCTTATAATATAAAATAAAAGATTTTCTAACTAAAACAATTTTACATTAAGAGAAACTTAAATTTGAGAATTCTAATTAATAATAACAAAATACTACTTGTTCTATCGCTATCCTCGTCGATTCATTCTCTATTTAGTTTGAAGTGATAAGTTAGAAGAAAAGTCCTAGAGGGTCACATCTTTTATGTCTTCTTTTGTCCAATAATGCATATATTGATATATCAAGTACTTACCAAGAAGTTTCATGGAAGATTGAAACTTGAAATTTTGTGTATTTCAATCTTGTATCAGAATCTACGATCTAACAGAAATAAGAGATAAAATCTATTTATGTAGATGCACTTACGGGGTTCTTAAGATTTATATCTACATTGGCTTGACTAAAATGTTTGTCTTGTGATAAATATACCTCTTTGTCGAACATTATAACAAATACATTAAATTTATCCTTTCTAAAAAGTATATCATATTTAATTAGTATTTTATAAAATTATATATTGCAAAACTTCAATAGTTTGAACCCGTGTTCTACTAGTCACATATTTGGAAAAATCAATTATTTATAGTTATATATATCATTTTATATTTTCATATTGAAACGAACGACATTTTTTTATTTTTATCATTTGAGCCTTTTATTTGAAAAATTCAATTATTTTTTCGACGAAAATAGAAAATTAAATTTTGTGAATTCTCTCTTGAACCAAAAGATCATTAAAGTTTTACTTCATAATATCAAAGAATCAATTTTTTAATGAATATTCAGATAAAACATCTTACTCCCACTTTAATTTCGCTCTAACCTACCTACGTGTGGAATAGGTTGGGGCGATATACCTAAATTATATGGAAAAAAATAAATACAAATAAAAAGCTATCTTTTTAGTTGCCATTTGCATTGAGAAATTTCGAGGAAGTTTAAGTTAATAATAGAACACAAAATGGAAAAATATTTCCACATTACTTTATTATCGTTTTTAGAGAAAAAAGACATTGGTTGGTTAGATGTCAATTTATAACTACAAAATTAATTATTTTGCTGAATTTTCTATTGGCTGTATGAACTGAGAAAATAGTATTATGGCACACGACAATTTTATTAGGTTTTATTTGCCCTGATTTCTTACCATAAATAGGTGAAAAGGTTTTGAATTGACTATTCTTTTTTTGATAGGAAAAGGTTTAGGACTCTATAAATAGAGGCATGTTCCTTCTAACTTAATTAGCATTCACAATGTAGTTTTAAGGGCTTTGAGAGTTTTGGTTAGAGGGAGAATTTGTGAACCTCTCATGTATTCCGAGTGAATTGGTTGAGGTTGTTTCCCTCTGTATTTTATACTCTCATGTTTATAGTGGATTGCGTATCTCCTTTGTGGACGTAGGTCGATTGACCGAACCACGTTAAATCTTTGTGTCTTTTGGTATATTTCTCGTTGTCTTCTTACTCGTGGTCTTTCGAGGTTTGTTTTGCTAGCTTCCGCGTTTACACTTGCTTATTTCCGGTCCTAACAAATTTTAAATACTTTTTACGTCTTTTTTCACGTTCAATGAAAAAAAAATACAAAGTAATTAGTATTTATTAAGTTTTTCTTTTTGAATCAACATTCACATTAGAGTTTGAATAAATTTAAATTTGAGATGACAAGTTTTATATTAGACGTAAAACACTTTCTAACAAAAGCAACTTCCTTCCACATTGATATAATTGAAAATAATTACTCTCTATGTTTCAATTTATGTATCAAATCGTGAATTCATAAATAGAAGCTTTATATTCATTTGAAAAAATACATAAAAAGTATTATAAATTACAATAATAACGACTTAAATTATTTTAAAACATAATCAAACTACAATTAAAGAAAAAAATTTTATCAACTCTAAAAAATTTCAATTTTTTCACTTAAATCAGGATAATAAAAAATAAGAGTAAATATTATCTTGAATTTCGCGGTAATCATTTTGTTTTTATTGCTAAAACAACACCTATTTGGTTATTTCAAATCGAATCATTTTAAAATACTTTTAATTATTTCGTAGATTTAATTATTCATTTATGTATTGAATCTTATGATAATAAATACTGACTCAATCCAAAAATAATGAAAACACTACACTGAAATTAATCAGAATCTGAGTCCATAAATTTGTTATACACAATATTGGCATGATCATTCTTCTAATTAATCCAAGTTATTAAATAATCACATCATTTTTTCCCCAAAAATAAAATAAAAAGACTAATTTTTTTTCAGGAATCACAAGCAAAAATTTTGATCCAACGATTATCTCTGCTGTTCCATCATAAGACTAAAGTCCTCAAAGCATACGAATCCATCTCCATTTTTATCAACACCTCTTATCATACGCCGACACTCCTCTAACGTGCACCGCCCATCTCCGATCGTTCTAAACACGTTAAACAGCTCCTCCGCCGTGATCTTCCCGTCGTGATTAGCGTCGAAAAACTCAAACGTATCTCTCATCTCGGAATCACACGACGGCGGTCCGAACGCCGAGCTTATAGCTCCGAATTCCTGTAAACTAATACATCCATCTCCGTTCACATCTACTTCATTAAGCAACTGTACTAGTTCTTCCTCGGTTGGAGGATCCGATCCTACTCGAGTCAAAATCGCCGAGAGTTCCTCCTTGTGTATTTTCCCGTCGCCGTCTCCGTCGATCATTTGAAAGGCTTGTACCAGTTCGGAGTAAACTTCGGCGGAGATTTCAGACGGCCATTGAGTATTAGTACTGGGTAATACACTTGTCGGAGTGGTTACGGACCCGGAAGAGGAGGAGGAGGTGGTTACGGACCCGAATGAAGTATTTTCGGATCTGGAAATGGATCGTTTTTTTTTGGATTTGAAGAGCTTTTTGGGGAGATCGGTAATGAGTTTCATGGTGATGAATTTGGAGAGTAAAAAGGACAGAGAAATGGAGAATGGTGAAGAAGGCGAGAGGAAGGAGAGGAGGTTAAATGGGAGAAGGAAGTAGCAAGCCATAGTGAGCTTCCAGGAAATTTCCTAGAGTGAATGAATGATAACAGAAAATAAGGTTCCATTTATTCGCTTCCTTTACTTTTCACCGTTACTTCGATATTCGATATTCAATATTCGTATTAAAATCTAGTTAAACAAAGGGGCTTTAAAATTCTGATGATTTTAGATTCATTATATTAATGAACAGAATTATTTGATACATATTATTAATGAAAAATAATAAATATTACATGACAAGACGTCACGTTATTTGATTTTTAAAAAAAAAATCTAAAGGAGGCAACTTTGTATTGAGTAAAATTTCAATCAAAGTTTTTGATTAATTAAGAATGATTAATCAAAAAAGTTATTTTGTTTGGTCTATTCAATTTATGTTTGCTTTTTTTTTCTTTATATTTTCATCTTTTATCTTAATAGGTGTAAGAAAAAGTTATTTAATAAAGATAATTTGAGATGTTTAAATAAAGAATGAAGAAGTATTTATCTCGTCATAATTTTTGTGGATATTTTTTCTATCCTTTATTTTAATTATATGTTGGCTTTTTTTATTTTATTTTAAGAGAAAAGTCAAATTTTATTGGTGTATAATCTATTTTTCAGCAAAGAAACTCAAATGTGAATTGAATGAGTACTCTAATGTGTACATGGTTCAAAAAAAAGTCTAAATTTAGCACTAACTGAACATAGAGTTTTGGGGTTTAACTCATATTCGAGGGATTGTAATCATTTGTATTGATCATCATAGATATAAAAGACATTATGATTTGATGTCATTTTCACCTTCTTTGATTTATAAAATAGCAATTTGTTGGAATTTCAAAAGTCATTTGTGATAATGATGAAAAAAATCTAAACTTACTTCTCAAACTTAGTAATTTCAGCGAACGTAAGAACAGTAACAAGAGATCATACAGTAAAATTTTCAGTGTTTGAAAAAACAAAAAAGATCTCCTTTTTATAGTCATTTTTAACAGTAAACGTATAAATTTCGTTGCGCCAAAATTAATTCTGTTATTTAACTAACATCCTAAATTAATTTATAAGAGAAAAACAATGTGAGCGACGGCGTGAGGAACACCTCCTTCTTAACCCTTTAAGAAACAAAAGAAGTGTTTCTAATATGTCGACAACAATTTCTTTTCTTCTATCAATATGAAAGAAATAACTTTTTATTTTCCCTCCAAAATTGATTCCTTTATTTTTTTTTATTTTTCTCTTCTCTTTTCTTTTTCCATTCATATTGTGCTAAAACCCGATATTATCTTCATATTAAAAATTTATTAAATGTTGAAGTGCAAATTCTAGTTTCGTGTCTCTGATGTTGATGAGATAATGCGATTATCTACATCTTTTAAATATAAAAATCAAATTTGAATTTGGAAATTAATTAAAACTTTTTTGATATAATCTATTTTATCCTCTAGTACAACAGTGGAGCCAGAACTTCGATTAAGAGGTTTCAAAATACAAAAAGGTAAAATCGAGTAGAAATCAAAGAATGTCAATATGTAATCTATATACATCACTAAAAAATATTTTTGCTCTAGTTACACAGTTTAACTTTTCCCTCTCAACTATATATGGTTCTGCCACTGCTCTAATACGTTTATTTGATGCAAATATTCATAGTTAATAATCTTGACACACCATACAATTAAATCAGAAAAAATAAAAAGAGTTGTTATAACTTTTGATCAACCTATATTGTGTGAGTTACATGAAAGAAACACAATATATACCTAATATATTCTGGATTCGAAAAAAAAAATTAAATGTGCATGAAAAATGATCTTATAAAATACAATTTTCATAAAAAATTTCTTCTATGTACATTGCACCAGCTTCTTGATCTCTACATTATAGTCATAAATAGGGACCCTTATAATTAAGATAATCAAAAAATCACAACTATTTTATAATCTAGATTAAGTGTTCACTAACCCCTTTTGAGTTTATTCACTAAATTTTTATTATTTAATTTTGAAAAAAAAAGAGTGCATGTGAATGATTAAATTAAAAAAAATAGTCCAAGTTTTGCCAT